GAACTTTCAAAACTATGTTTTTGCTGTCAAAAGTCAAATCACCTAAAAAAATCCCAAAATTGGATCTTAATACCGCAACTGGAGAAAAAAAATACAGACAAGAAACATGCCCATGTTTCTCCAAAGCGCAGAGAATCACTTAAACCATCTTTGGATAAAACACAGTGGCCTGGGAATTACATGATCTTGTTTTTCCTGTACTATGGTCGTGTTTTCTCCTTGAACATGCGACACCAAATACACGGCTAAAACACAGACAATGCCTCAAGAAACACGTCCGTATTTCTTCCTCAGCTCCACTTATGAGTCACCAAATGACATCCGATTGACTCAAAACTTGTGTCTATACCTTTCTTCGCTTGCTAGAACCTAAAATATGACAAATTAACACAACCTAACATAAAAAATGGTAAATGATGGTTAATATATTTTCTCTAAACCATCCTCATTCTCATTTTCAAAAACCCAAACCCATACTCGCGATTTGCGGATCGGGTAATACCCGCTTCGTAATATCCAATATAATTAGACCTAGAATACAATAAAACTAACTAAATATGTATAATGTCTGTTATAATATCAAATACGGCTAATAAACCATAAAGTCAACAAAAGTGTAACCGTTGTTAATTCAAATCCAAGCATCTAATCCTACAACATTTATTAGTTCACAAGACAATTACTATTTTTTTCATCCAATCATAAACTTATTTTTGTAGTATATAGATATTCTGGGGCAAGCATAAATATGACTTATGAGTATAGGACATGAGAGTTTAAAACCATACTCCACCCCCATCAATTTTTTATGGGCTTTACCCATATCCGCATCATTCCCACCAATGTAAGAATTCCCTATGCTGATTGGGTCGAGACCGTCAAACCCACGATCATATATCTAATTGCCATCCTACTTGGGCCTTGATTGGCTATTCTTTTCTCTTAGACCGTGTTAGGATGGAACTACTTACTGCTATGAACACTTCACTTTATTAAGCATGTACTCGGATCAAATTAAGAACTAATTGAGAGCAAGAAATCCCGAAATAGTAAATATTTGACAAAACGTAACTGGAACATCCAACATCTAGGGACCAGATCAGGTTAGTATCCTTGCTATCAGTAACTGTCGGTAATTCAATCATTTGTCCTCACGTGTCAGCTTTTTCCTTTTATTTAAATTAAACACGGAGGGGCACTAAGGTAAACTGCACCCCCTATTTAATGAGGATGCTAACGCGCTGACGCTGACTTTTTGACCAGACGTGGATCTCACTCTCCCACCCCACACTGGTTGTCTGGTTCCCCTCTCTCTCTCACTCTTTGTTTTATTTTATTATTAAAAGAAAAAATACATTATTTCTTCTCTCTCCCATCTACAACAAAAATGAATCTAACCATCCTAACTATTTCTAAACTAATTCCAGTTCAAATTGAATGATGATTTTTTTGTTAAATAATACAGTGTTAAAGACACTAATTACAAGTATAAATATGATTATCACTTTCTACTATCATGGTAAAATATGGTAAAATATGTTGAAGAAAATTACAATTCTAACTACCATACAATACCACATGGTAAAACGTGGTAAAACAAGGTAAAATATGAAAATTAAAAATCTAATTATCATACAATACCACATGGTATAACGTGGTAAAACATGCTACATAAATTTACAAATCTAATTACCATACCATACCATATGGTATAACATGCTAAATAAAATTACAAATCAAACTACCACCATATGGTATTACTTGGTAAACCATGCAACAGAAAATTATAAATCTAACTAGCATACAATACCACCATAGTAGAACATGGTAAATCAAAGGACCACAAATTAATTATAATTACAATATAATACCACATGGTATGAGAAGGTAAAACCATGTAAATCTAATTACAATCCTCTACGATCATAGTAAAAACATGATATTCATAAAAATACATTTCGTTACCACACATTACCATATGGTATAGACACATGCATTACCATATGGTATAGTGTGGTAATCTCAATATATATATACAATTACGACTTTCTTCACTTTCTTCTCTTCCTTCATTGTCTTCTAACTCTTCTTTCTCGGAACTGGTGTCGATTACCATCCACTACCACCATGATAAAACTCGTGACTATAAAAATACATTTAGTTAGCACACATTACCATATGGTATAGTGTGGTAATATCAATATATATTCTCAAAGAAGGGGAAATAGAAGGAGGAAGAGAAAAAAAAATCGTCTTCTGTCTCCTCTCATTTACTCCTCCGCAATCAAGAACACCAAATGCAAAAAGAAAGAAAAAGAGGAAGAAGATCAGAATTAATTCATAAACAAATACTAAAACACAAAAGATGCAAACTCAACTCATCTAGATCTGTCCCCTCTTTGACAATATGGATCGTCATCGATTTTGAGGCCGAGAAAAGAAAAAAACAGAAGGAAGGATCAGCTGAGAGAAGAAGGATTTGGAGCGTCATCGGATTTGAGGTGGGAGGCTGCAATTTCTTCATCGATTGTTGGAGAAAAAAATGAAGAACAAGAGAAGAAAGGAGATTTAGATTTGGAAAAAGGAGTTTGGAAGAGAGAAAGAGAAAAGAGAGAGAAAGAGAGAAGTCTGTTTTTTTCTTTCCTCCATTAAAAGACAAACATATAAATGCTGGAAAAAATAATAAAATAAAGGAAATAAATCAAATTTCAAAAATCTGACAAAAATGTCCCTCCTCACTCCACGTGCAGCCCAATCATATGATATTTCCATATCTAGATATACCGTTCGGATTTAATTACTGACAGGTCAATTGGTTACGGCTGGACCAACATCTAGCAAGTTGTTTCCAAAAGTAGCTGAAACTCATTTGCTACGGTAAGTACACAAAACACACCTCAAATATTAAAGGGACGACATACTCTCGAGACCAAAAGACAAGTGCAACAAAACAAATAGTGATACATGAATGAATCCCATAGGGGGACCCAAAAGTCGATAGGAATATAGAGACTTAACATAGTTTGTTTGTAGCAAGAAAATATTGTATTTGCAGCATGTTTTGTCGACGAATTTGAAAGTCAAGCCTTTTGAGCTCGGCTCAGTACCACAACGAGCAGCACAAGTACTGACAGCAGTAATGAGGTCGCAACCTTCCCTTCGAATGCCACGCTCGCTCTTTCCCCGATACCACCAGCGTGGACCTCCTCGCCACGATGTGCGAACAACTTGTTCATAAGCTCTGCTATGCTCTCCATCAATTCCACGACTCTTGCTTTAGCGTTGTCGAGGATCCACTCCACCACATTTTCGGATGCACCAACGCCGTCCTTGTCACCACCACCGCCAGTCTCATCACTTGTACTCTCTTGACTCATTGAATGCATGTTGCTGTTTACTTCTGTGACATGATGGGGAATCACCCATTTCAGAATTTATCATAGAAATATTACTTAACATTCGCATACATTTTGACAATAAATAAATTCTTGCAACAGTAGCAGATGCAGTGTAGCCATCATTACTTTACTGCATATATATATACCAATTCCCCTGCCTCCCCATCCGAGACAGTTTGACTTTTCTTACTTCTGAAGCACAAACAATTGATTCTTTCCTTTGACAATATATCATTATCATGAAGGGTTTCCTGACATTGCAGCCATTAGCCATACCATGGAGAAGTATTATTTTATTTATGTCAAATTGTAAATGCTTCTTCTATTGATTGCCTACCTCTACCTGGATAGTAAGCGTGCCGAAGCTCCCGAACCACCTCGTTGTTCATAACAGCATCCCATATGGCAGCATCAGAGGATATAGAAGTCACCATTCTCTGCACAGAACCAGCAGTGAACAGTAGATTTGCATTTGGATAAAAGACCTACCAAGAAAGTTTTGGAACCAACCAAACCCAGAGAAAGCTACTGACCTGAACGGATTGATCGTTCTGCAGCAAATGGAAAGCTTTGTAAACTGTATCAGTCCCATAAGGATGAGACATCCTGGTGAGGTTAGGAGAAGGCTCCTTCCAGTCCCAGTCCGACTCTGATCCAGCCAAATTAGGCAGAGGCCTCCACCAAATCTCATCTTCCATCCCCACCTTCATCATCTCATTCCCATACCTATCATGAACCAGGCTCGTGTATCGTCCAGAACCAACAAACCTACACAAGACCAACCAAACATACATGTGTATTAATTGGCTCGCTGTTATTGATAATTTTACTCAGTACTCAAACATCATCGACAATCGAATCGAGATTGGGCAGTGGTTTAACCAATAATAAAGATATTTATTTATTATGTTTAAAAAAAAAACTGACTGGGAGAGTTCATTGACAGCTGTGTGAACTTCATCAGCCGACGGCGGCGGGCCAAGAGCGAAGAAGTCGTCGGCTAGTCCATAGATAACCCCCTTCTCGTCAGAAGAACAAGAGGAACTTCCATCGGCAGAAACCCACTCCCAATCCCTCCCATACTCATCGAACGGGGATCCATAAAAAGCAGAAGTAGTCCAGGATATCGGAAGCGCGACGGGATTGGGCGAGACATGAAGACCCGGCCCGGCCCCCGAAGCCGCCGACTTGTGGGCCTGCCTCGAGCAGGTCGAAGAAGACGAGCTCGCTGCGGATCCAGCCGGAGTAGGGGAATTGGAGGCGGATGCCGATGTCGGGGAAATCGGGTCCTGAAGACCTGCCACTCCAGCCCGAGTAACCGCTCTCCCCATAGCTTTCATCATGTTCCCGCCGCCGCCACCGCCCATTCCTCCTCCTCTGCCTCCAACAAAACCCATTCTTTATCGTCTCCGTCGCTAACTGATCTCTTTGCACCCCCTTCTTATCCCTTTTGGAATTTTGGAAAAGAGTTCCAGGTTTATTTCCACGAGAAGGATAAGTTGTAGAGTTCAGTTTACGCACAGCTATATCTTTCTTTCGATAAGTTCGCAGATTCTGATTGGATACTAACTGCGGCTTTTTTTTTTGTATCGTCTCGTCCAGCCGCAATCACCGAATGCAACTAACCAATTTCTCCGTGATTTAATGGGCTCTGGGCCCATCATCGTGTTATCAAGGCCGTAGGCCTCTTAACATTTTTGTAAGGTCCGTTTCACAAAGCCCAAAATCAGTGCAAGTCTCGAAAACCCTAATCGCAAATATATTTTCAATCTCTCACGGTCACGGTTCCCTTTCTTCCCCAGCCGAACGAACAGCAGCAAGAGGAAAGAGGAGCAGCGCGCCGATATGGGTGAGCCTTTGTTTTCTGTTTCCTCTCTGGCCTTCTTCGTTTCATCGTTTTTAAGCCTGATGATGTGGGTCTTCTAGAATCGGATTGCGGTTTCTATGAAATGTAGAATGGGATCTGGTGGTTTTCTGGGGTTTAGTGAGATATGTGCAGTTATGTTGATGGAGATGGTGGGAAATTTTACCCAGTGATTGGTTTTGATTCTGCCTGTGGATTGTGTGAAAATAGGGGCATACAAGTACGTGTCGGAGCTATGGAGGAAGAAGCAGTCGGATGTGATGAGGTTTCTACAGAGGGTGAGGTGCTGGGAGTATCGCCAGCATCCTTCGATCGTCCGAGTTACTCACCCAACTCGCCCTGACAAGGCTCGTCGCTTGGGTTACAAGGCCAAGCAGGTACCTTTTTTTTTTGGGGTCTCGACTGTGATGAATGCTTTATCTTCTATTCGCCCTGCTTTAGTTTTGTGTAGATTTCATATGTCTCAGTAGTGGCAGTGACTTGTGTGAATGCTTGTAGGGCTACGTCGTTTACCGAGTGCGTGTGAGGCGTGGTGGAAGGAAGAGGCCAGTTCCTAAGGGTATTGTGTATGGGAAGCCCACAAACCAGGGTGTGACTCAGCTCAAGTTCCAGCGTAGCAAGCGATCGGTTGCAGAGGAACGTGCTGGGAGGAAGCTTGGTGGACTCAAGGTTCTCAATTCCTACTGGATCAACGAGGTATGTACTGTCGGCCACCACATTTAACTTTGTTGTAACTTGTATTGAACAGAACAATGAAAAATTGAATTGGTAGTATTTATAGATATACTGAACGGAATTCCCTGTTAGTTTAGCTTATCTTGATTTGATTGCTCATTGTTGATGCTGTTTTAGAAGCCTCACTGAGCATTGAGCAAAATGGATATGGAATCTGCTTTTGTTTCACTCTATCTGGTTTACATTGATGTCCTTCCTCGCTGTGTTTCAATGAATACAGGACTCGACATACAAGTACTTTGAAGTTATCCTGGTTGATGCTGCGCACAATGCAATTCGCAACGACCCAAGGATCAACTGGATATGCAACCCAGTCCACAAGCACAGAGAGCTTCGTGGTCTCACTTCTGCAGGAAAGAAGTACAGAGGTCTCAGAGGAAAGGGTCACTTGTACCACAAGAACAAGCCATCGAGGAGGGCAACCTGGAAGAGGAACAACACACTCTCTCTGCGTCGCTACCGTTGATCTACTGTTTTCTAGGTTGTTTGTTCTTCGCCGTAGGATTATCCCAAGTATGAAACACTTAAAAGTGCTTTTGGATTTGTGTGTTCGCTGAAGTAATTTTACTTTGTTGAGATCTATGGTGAATTTGTTTGCGGTTTCAATCTATTTATACTCGATAGGCCAGTCGCATGTCTTTATCGTTAATATTTGGTATTGGGCAGATTCCTTCAATGATTCATTCCATCTATTATAAAATAAAAATAAACTTAATATGAGCAAACAATAATAAAAATGATTAGCATAGTTAGTAAAATACGGTACGGGAAAGTTACGGATATAATACGTACGGGTATTTTACTTCATCTCTAAGCTAATGTTACGTTTAATAGTACGTTAATAGTCATAAATATATAAAATAAATTATTTTTTAAAATAATAAATATAAAAATTATAGTAAAGTTAACAATTTAATTCATTAAATATGGATATAAAACGTGTTATACGGATTTTATACGTGTTTAGTACGGGAGCCACCAAATGAACGGACAAAAATGAAACGGCTTGACAAAAATACGGATACGGAAGTTTTAAACGGATAAAGTACGTACGGGTACATATACGTGTATTAAACGGAGTATTTACTAACTATGATGATTAGTAGCAAGGCTTCGGGATTGTGGAAGAATGAGATTGGAGAACGATGGATAGGAGAGAACGAAATAGAAACTGAGATAAACTTCTCTTCCATCTCTTACTCTTCACACGGAGAGATAAATTGCATAATTGATGTCCAAAAAGAAACTGGCAACCCACTGATGCCCGGTGCAGTGGAAGCCACGGAGTCGGACGGGAACAAGGCACGATAGCGACGGAAGACGGCGAGATTTTGATTTTGATTTTGCAGGCACTCAAAGAAGACTCGCGGGTGCCGCACTTGCTTCCACGACAACGTCGGATGAAGTTAGGACCAGGATGAGGGGCGGAGCTAGGATTTGACGTTCGGGGAGCCGAAAATATTTTTCGTATTATTGAAGAAGCAAACAAGAAAAAACATAAATAATTTACCAATATTAAGAAAATTAATTTATATTGATTATTATTATAACACCTTTCAATACACTTTTTGAGTTAATTAGATTAGTTCAAATTAAAAGATAAAATAATGTATCATGTTATTTTGATACAACCGAGTGAATTACCAAAAAAATTAATGTATCAATGCATAATGTCTAGCAAAAGTATTTACTCGTTATATATCCAACATAATTATTAAATTTTAAAATGAAAAGTTATAAACCTTAAGTGATCTAAGTCAAAGATCTAAAGAGATATAAATATGAAAGTTAGATAAGTGAATTGAACTTTTATGTAAATTAAAACTGAAAAAAGAAACAAAAATTAAAAGTTAGATGACTAACTTGAACTTCTATGTCAAGTAAAATTGAAAAATAAAAGAAACTAACAAAAGCTGGAAGTTGAATGACTAAATTGAATTTTTACGCAAGTGAAACTGGAAAAGAATACAAATTGCCATCGTCATGATTCGAACATGCATCAACGACGGAGAATTATGCGCCTCTCTTCGGTTGACTGCAACCACATTTTATTACAGGTTCTGCACATATAAGTATTTCACCACAAACTTAAGTTACACGTAATTTAAACTACGAGTTCATACACAACTTTCAAAATTCTGAGGGGACATAAGGTAGCTCCGCCCCTGCAGGTTGATGGCGTCGATTGGGCACCCTTTTATGCCAATTGATTATTTGCTTGGAGGAAATAGACGCCCCCATGGTGTAACTCTCATTGAGGATCTAGTTGGGCGTCGAACTCCACCGGGCACCTCAACTCCACGGCGGAGAGAGCGGGATCCGATGAATGAGGCCATAGCGGTGGGAGAGTCTTCTAAAGATGCCAAAGGTGTCAGCGACGCAAACTTCTTGGAGCAAGTCGGGGTCGGAGGCGAAGCAAACGTTGGTGATGGCAAGAAGACGAGGAAGTATGAGATGAGGATTGGAGCGGTGGGTGCCATGGTTCCATTTTTCTGCATCTCTGCCCAGAAAATGCACGTTTGCTTCGTAATCTTCCACCAAATCATCTTGGAGGACGTCGGGCCGAAGGCGAAGCAAGCAGTGGAGGTGGCGGAGAAGTGGTTTTCGACTGAATCGGAGTTATATGAAAAGACCTAAATTTAGATCCAGAAACAGTAACCAGGAGACGGTTTGGATTTGGGGATGCTAGGAATTAAATTTTTATTTTTTAATTGTTGTGGAAATGAGATGGAAATTTAAAATATTAAATTTATTTTTTAAATATATTTTAATTGTCACTTCATACATTTAACGTTCAACTATGAGAGTAGACTGCCATATCAACAAAAGTTAACGGACTTGGACGGAGAGTGACCAAACTTGAACTATTTAATTAATTTTAGTGACCATGAATAAAATTAAATATTTTTAGTAACCGAACATGAACTTTTTAGTAATCACATCGAACAATCTTGCAATTTACCAATTATAATTCATATCAAAGTCACTGGCGAACCTATCAATGGAAATAATATGGTGGGAGAATTCTCAACAGGTATCATAAAACTTCGAGGACGTTGATGTAAGAAGAAGAAAAGCTTTGGCAGTACGATCACTAATTATGTTGATGGAATCACTTGCAGTTGCAGGCTTAGGTTGTGTTTTCTGGCCAGAAACCTCATGTTTGATATTTATGGACTGCACCTTTTAATTTTTTAATAACGATTAATAAGGTTAATATTTTTATATGGCCTGAAGTTTGACCAAAATAAATATTCTGGCCAATCTTTTCGATTTATAACATCCTGACCCAACTATACACCAAAATAAACAATTTGGTCAGATCCGACTTTTGACCGTTAACTTGGACGGTCAAACGCGTTGACCGTTAGTCAATGCGCCATGTCACTGCCAAGTCAGCATAAAATATTTAAAATAATTCACAATTTCCACACATTCCCTAATTTTAAATGATTATAAATTAAAAAAAATCATCTAATATCTTAGTTAAACCAAAAATAAAAATGAAAAAAATTAAATATTTATCAGATCTTATGACTTGGCAGTGACGTGACGCGTTGACCGTTAGTCAATGCGTTTGACCGTCCAAGTTAACGGTCAAACATCGGGTTTGGCCAAATTGTTTATTTTGGTGTATAGTTCGGGCCAGGATGTTATAGATCGAAAAGATTGGCCAGGATGTTTATTTTGGTCGAAGTTCAGGCCATACGAAAATATTAACCCCGATTAATAATATGGTACCACTTCAACAAAGTTTGAACGGAAGTGTTCGATCATTTTATGGCTTTTCGAACAACTAAGCTTACTTATTCTACTCTTATGAAGGTTATGTGAGAGCTTCAGAAACTAAAAGCTACAAGTAGTGCAAAGAAAAAATAAAGTTTGACATGAAATGTCAAACGTTGGTTTTCGAAACTCGTATCTTGCCTTCATTTCTTCTATTTATAGTCATCAGTTGTAACTTCCCTGACAACCGCCAGCTTGCCGCTTGCTCGAACTGCCTTGTCCTTACTGGATGGGGTTGATGCCTCTTTGTCTTGCCTCCATGAAGAAATCTTGATCATACTTATTCTTGAATTGCTCAACCTGGTACCATCTTGTCGGCTGGATAACACCCTTATCTCATCAACTTGGTACTTAGTTGACTTGAAACCAAGCGGGCTTATCAGCTTGATTCTCTACTACCTTGTCGATATGGTTGTCTTGTCAGGTTGATCTGCATACTTAGCTGACGACTCCCTAGGCGAGCTCTACACCAAGAATACCTCATCAAGTTGGTATCTTGTTGCCTTGCCACAACAAGTCTCCACCTCTGAGACTCAAAACTAAGTTTTTGGAAGCTAAATTTCATACTCGCTGGCTTGTTACACATATGTCTTGACAGTTAGCCTGTTAAGATCAGGGAGAGGAGGCCACATATATTAGGAAGAGGAACGTGACCACTGGATCTAAAAATCCAACCCAATAAAGTCCAACTAGCTCATTTAATATTTAACACTGAATTAGCTATTAAAGCCAATAAGTCTATTTTAATTAATCTATGTGTTATAACTTGCGAGATTAATTTTTAGATGTGAACAAATAGTTCACAAACGTACAATTGGTGCACAGTTATTGGAAAAAGGTCAGAAAATAAATCTATCATATCATCGTATCACAGCAAAGTCATGAAAGATGTGATTTCTAATTGTAGAGCAAGATCGAGAAAAAAACAGTCCGCGTGAAAATTGAGAGAAGATTATGGTGTCTTTCTTTATTGACGAGAGTTCTCATATTCCATATATTTCAGACATTAGAGTGTCTTTCTTTATTGATGAGAGTCCTCTAATATTAAAATGAAGTTGTTTTGTATATTATAATATAATGATTTAAAATGCAAAATTCGTTTGCTGTATATCGATGGGCCGCAATCTTCAGGTACATTATGCCCGACCCGCGAAATTTTTTTTTCTAAACGCGGGGGGGGGGGGGGGGGGGGGGACCTGAAGGAATCACAACTTGTGACGGCGATTCCCTCCCTGTATTAAATTCGGAGAGAAATTGAGAGATGGAATTTTCTATCGGCAATTTCAGCTGGTGGCTGGCTCCGCCGCCTTCACTTTCCGTGTCACCGTGTGTCTGTGTTGTTTACGCCTAGAAAGTGCCAGGCGGGATTGGTAGGAACCTTTGAGGAGAGTCAGGAGACTTTGTATTCCTTGAGGAGGGAACCACTATTCATGTGAAATAGGTCCGGGGGCGTGGCCTGTGGACACTCTCCAACGATCAAGTCAGTATTTAGAGAGAAAGAGTAGGTAGAGAGAGAGAGTGAAATCAGTTACCATTAAATGAGGTGGTTGGTTCGTATTTATAGTCTGTGATGGTTGGTGTGAGCCTTTAATGCTCTGTCAGACGTATTCCTAATGTCCGTTTCCGAGGCACGCCTACGGAGGCATTTAATGAAGTGTCAGTGGAGACATGATTAGCATTCCCGCTGTCCCGTCAGCCGTACGCTTCCGCACGCCCGCCACTCCTGAGGCGTCACCGCATCCGGTTAACCCATTAACTATCGGGCCGACTCGCGTCGAGGTCCATTCTCTATTGGGTTGGTTCCCATTCGGCCGGCGCTTGCTTCATGGGCCTGGGTTTGGGTAGTGATCCCCGATGGCCCAACAATTGTCCCGCATGCCGCATGCGGGTAAAGCCTCCGGGTT